TGAGTCGTCTCCTTACGAACACGGAATTGCTTTTGAATATCTGACTCTTATGAATGTCATGCAATGCTTATGAATAAAAGTAATGGTTGAAGAATGTTTAAAGAATAAATAAGAAACTTAAAAACAGTTATGATTAAATAGGCTAATTCCACTGCTTTTCCAAGATAGATTCATCATCGGTTATTAACGAATAATTGTTCAATTAATTATTGTTTAAGTTTCAAATTAATTAAAGTACATTCTTAATTAATTTGAGGGCGACCATGCATTTAATCAAAATAAATTCTGAATCAAATGCAAAACCTTTCTAGATTATTCACAATAAATTCAACCAAAGTACATTCTCAATCAAATTCTATTGTGTTTAATCATGTATATTCTTAAATCCCCTAACCAGCTTAAAAGTTAATCAATCAAATTAAATTCTCAATTAATTATAGTTGAAATTATTACTACCAACCAAAGTACATTTTCAATTGATAGTAAAAACCATTTAACCATATGAAAGTTCCTAAATTAAATCAAAGTAGATTCTTAATTAAACCTAGAAATCCTAGAACTCATATAATCAATATGCATGTAGATTCAAACACATTATGATGCAAAAATCTTTACTTTTAACAAGATAGAGAGATGAAAGACATAGAGAGAACAACTTAAATCAATAATCAAAGTAAACAATTGTATTAACTGAACGCAACCTCAGAATCCATCATGAAATTACAGCAGAATAGTGAATGAATGAAGTTGAATACAAGATGAAATAAGAGAAAGAAGTAGTGAATGAATGAATGAAGTAAAGTCCCCTTTTCTGCCTCCCCTGGGTTTCTTTATATAGGGCTTGATTGGGCTTGGACTCTGAATATTCAGTTGACAGAATCTTTTATCTTATATCTTCCAAATAACTAAAAGATTTAGATAATTAAAACATTATTTGGAAGATATTTTCTGTTGATATTCCCAAATTAAATTATTTCAACAACTGACTTTTATCTTTTAGTTTTTTCTAAATTTTCCAAAATTACACATAAGCCCTAAAATTTCTTCTATCTACACTTTAGTCCCTTCTGAACTTCCCAAAATTGCACCAGAAGTCCCTGTTTGACCAGACTTTGACCAGAGAAGGCTTGTTGACCAGCTTTGACTCATATGGTCGTGGCCAATGGAAACTCGCCACGTGTCAGCCCCTTTCCATCCAAAATTAGGGTTTTGCAGATTGGGGGAAAGGGCTTTCTCTGTGCCGCATTGCTCTGCGGCTTCTCTGATTGATTTGCAGGTTATGGAAGTGCGGTTGGTTGCGCGAAGGTGGAGGGACTCACCGAGTGGTGGCGGGCGTGACTGATGGGCTGTGATGGTGGATGACGGTTCTTGCGGCGGCGGCTCAACGAGGAGATGGTGCGGTGAGGATGGTATGCGAGCTTTGTTCGGATTGGATTTTCTTGGTTTTTGGATTTGCAGGTCTGAGATGATGATTGGCCGGGGAAGAAGGTCGTGCGACGGCTGCAAGATGGTTGCGGCCATGGCAGCGGCGGTGCTGTAGTGGCAAGGCGTGAGTGGCGTGGAGGCGGCAAGGTGTCCCGCGAGGTGATGTCGCGATCAGAGATGGAGATTGATGATGGAGGTCGCGGCGTGGTGGTGGTGCGGCAGTGACGGACGCGATTTGGCGAACTCGCGAGGAGAGACGCGATGAAGATCGTGATTCTGGGTGGCTGGTTCTCTCGGTTTTGATGGAGGCTGATGGCGCTGTTTGAAGGTTGACAGTGGTCCGGGGTTGTGCGACAGTGATGATGCCGACGGTGCTAGGGAGAAATGAAGATGGTGAGTGAGAAGCGTGGTGGTTGCTTGCGGTGGCTTGATGGTTGACGGTGGTGTCACGGCGGCATGGTTGGTGAAGTCTGACTAGTTAGTGGTAGGAGGGGTATGGGTAAGGAAATTTAGGGGGTGTATTCAGAATAGGTTTACTGTTTGGCTTAGTGTTGGGCCTAGTTAAGAGAAGATGGGTGTATGTAGGAAAATTGGGAGGTGTAAGGGTAAAGTCTATTTGTTTGGCCCATTTGTATCTTATTTTCTGAATAAAATCTAATTTTGGGCCTTAAATTGCCATTTGGACCAATAAAACTTATATTCTCAACTGCACAAATAAACGTAAGAATTTCCAAGAATAATTTATGCATCTAAAAATCACCTTTTAAGTCCCTTTTTATTCCCAAACACAATAATTCCAATAATCACAAATTCACTTAAAATCAACCATTTAAACACAATTATCCCATCAAAATTTTAATTTTAAAGCATAAATGTAGGCATAAATATGCACTCATCACTCTCTTAAATTAATATCTATCTAATTATATTACAAAGTACATCATTCTGGAGAATGAATTAGGAAAAACCCTCTTAATTCTACATTATTACATTTAATTTCTATTATATGAATCTTTATTTTCTATATTTAATTAAAAGATGAAATCTATAAAGAAAGCTTAAAAGATTCCTTAAGATCATATCATTCTCGACTTCTAAGCAAGTGGAACTTATTAGAACAAACCCCTTAGTCGAGGGCCAAGGGAACGAGGGTTTTGTGTTTGGAACCTCATTTTCATTCTTAGTGACAACGCTAGTATCTCAACCTCATGACCATTAATACAAAAAGATGTATTACCGACCACCAAAATCCATATAAAACATAAAAGTTTATGATAATTAATTTTTTATAATGGAATTCTGATAGACCGAAACTTGTTGGTAAAAGTGCAATTGGTAACATTTGATGACAAAAATTGATATTTGTCGATAATGAGCAAAGGAAAAATTCGTCAGTAATTATCGAAGAAAAAATCCGTCGATAAATACTACGATCTGGTTCATCTTTTTCTTCTTTCCCATTTCTCTTCTTCCACCAATTTTCATATTCATCATTCATACATCCTTTAGGAATTTCTTTAGCAAGGCTAACTCTGCCTCCAAGTTTTTTATTCTTCCCATGCCTTGCGCTAGCTCTAAGTCCTTAATCTTAAGGGAAAACTTGAACTTGTGATTGTCCTTCATAATCTCGACCAACTCAGAAGCTCATCCAACTCGGCAATGACAACAACTTGGCCAAGAAATTCGTTGTTGAAAACCCTCTCCACCTCTCTCCCAAAATCATGGAAAAAGATGCGGGTCTTGCTGACCTTCACACTTCGGGTTGATGGCGAGCTTGCGTTCTGAGAACAAAAGGTCCTAGATGGGCCGATAGTTAGGTTGGGACTCAGCACGAGCTTGGGAGAGAAGTTTGGAGAAGTTAGAGACTTTGGTGGTGAGATGGATGTCGTAGGCTTCAATGCCAGGAGAGGATTGCTCAAACTTAGAGATGGTGTATTCATTCTTATAAAGGAAGATAATGCGCCCCTAGTTGTTGAGTGCTGCCCAGAGGAGGGACTTGTAAGAGAGACCAGAGGCTTTGAATGTGAGGGCGTAACATAAAGATGAGGGCTTTTGAGAGGGTGGTGAGCTTTGTAGAGGACATAGGCTTGGTAGAGACGTTGGAGGCGACAACGTGATGGATGAGTGCTTTATAGACGGAGGGTGGGAGAGGCACTTTCTTCACCGAGGAACAATATTACTCTTTGAGTTAACACTTGCCTCTTTAGCGTTTCTTTGTTGTTAAGGGCGTGAAGAGGAGATGAAGATGAATAGACTTGGACTCTTTTCATGTATCTAGATACAGGTTTGGGTGAAAAATTTGTCATATTTTTACCAATGGATTTACCGTTGGTAATAAGCATTTTAAACTATCAACATATTTTACTAACAAATTTTAGAATTTATAAGTATCTGGATATTTTACTGACAAACAAATTTGTTGGTAAATTAAATATGTATTATCATACATATAAAATTCGTAAGTAATTTAAATTTAACGACATATTTATTTCTCTTGGTAAAATTTCGTTGATAATTTCAAGAGTTTTTGTAATGTAGATAACGTCATTAAGATTAATCACCATATCCACTATATTGCTCATTTTGAAACTCGAACTTTTATCGTAATTTTGTCTTGAAAAAACATTTTAAGATTGAAGAAAAAGTATGTATTTAAATTGTTGCTTTATCTCAACTTCTAAGCATGCTATATGATTAGACATATTGGAACAAAGCTCTTAAACCGGGGTTAAGAAAACGAAGGTTTCAATTTTTATGTAAAATAAAAAAAATTATGTTTAAAATCTCATTTTCATTTTTACAAACAATACTAATATTTTGATCTCATATCTAATAAAATAATATTGTTAGGTCACGCACCAATACTCTTATTTCAAATTCATTGAAATAATATCATTATAATTAATAACGTATCCAATATATTGTTCACTTTCATTAGAATTAATATCGTATCCAATTGTTAACTTTAAATTGAAAAAATCTTGTTCTTCATAGTAAACCTTTTTCAAATTAAACCCATTTTATATCTTCATAAATAAGACTGACATGTTTCAATGTTTTTTCTTCCTCACCTTGTATTACTTCAAAAGTCCCGTTTTTAGGGTAAAATAGGTTGAAAGCCTACTAATATAACAAGCATGAGTAGTCTCTCATTACAAAAACAAAAGGACTAAATTTGTTTTACTTTCAACAAAGGAATTACTTTTCTTTTTCTTTCTCTCTTTGTTATGACCCTTTTTTTTTCACTTTGGTACGTACTTATGAGGTGGGGGTTGATGCAACCGGTTGCACACAACTTAATATATTGTTGTGTTAGTGTTATTTTTCTTAACTTATTGCACTTGGCCTAGTGCAACAATGATTGTTTAGTATGATCAACCAACAAGCAATTAATACAATTCTTTGAGAGAGACCAGTTGTAAAAAGATTATTTTGTTAAAAAAAAGTTCAATATATTATTAGTTTTAATTGATTTTACGTAGCTTAATTTCCTTTTCCTCTGTATTTTACAACGTCAAATTCATTCCTAGTTAATCTCCACTCCATCTTTCTGTTCTTCCGCATAAATCAAGTTAGATGAAGGGCGTAGTTTCAGTTCCCATACAACCCTCAATCATCACCAATCACATCATTTTATTTTCTATACCGAATCAGATTCAATTTCAATTCTAACTTCTCAACTCTCTGCACCTAAATCTTGAAACCAAACAATATTCTCATTGTATAAGACAACACACACCCAACCCAAAACCAAAACCAACACAAAACTTTCTTCCCTTCATCATAACCCATCTTCTCTTCTCTCTCTTGTTCGAGAGAGAGAGAGAGAGAGAGAGCACGTGCATAACATAACACAGCAATGGCAATGGCAATGACAAGCAAAGACAGAGAGAAAAAACTCTTCTTTGTTGGGTCACTAGTGAACTACGCTGCAGAACTGAAGCTGCTTCTCACTACCGTCCTTCTCCTTTGCGGCGTCGCCACTCTCCTTCAGTTCCTCCCTTCACGTTTCACCATCTCATCCTCCGATCTCCGCCTCTGCATCTCAAGGGTCTCCCTACAATCCCCACCACCCTCTACACCACTTTCTTCACCCCCACCACCACTTCCCACACCCCCTCCACCACCCTCTTCCACCGCTCTCCTTCCCAACGCCACCATTAAGCGTGTCTTCAACACTTATGGCTCCGCAGCCTACAACTTCATCACCATGGGAGGATACCGAGGAGGACTCAACACCTTCGCCATCGTTGGCCTTTCTTCCAAGCCACTTCATGTTTATGGAAAACCCACCTACGAGTGTGAGTGGATCCCACGGCAAAACACCACCTCTTCTCCAAAACCCATCTCCACGAAGGGTTTAAAGTACCTCCCTGACTGGGGCTATGGTCATGTCTACACCGTAGTGGTTGTTAACTGCACCTTCAATGGCACAACCGTCAATGCCGCCAACACTGGTGGCAAGTTGGTGCTCCATGCTTCCACCTCGGGAGCTGGTGACGCCAACTTCAATGTCACTGACACAATAGAGGTTCTGGAAGAAGCGCCAGGGAGTTTTAATGCTTCACTCTTTTTGTCAAAGCCTAAGTACGACTACTTCTACTGTGGCTCTTCTCTCTACGGGAACTTGAACCCTCAGAGGGTGAGGGAGTGGATTGCTTACCACGTGAAGTTTTTTGGGCCAAGGTCGCATTTTGTTATTCATGATGCTGGTGGGGTGCACGAGGACGTGCTGGAGGTGCTGAAGCCGTGGATGGAACTGGGTTATGTGACGGTGCAGGATATCAGGGACCAAGAGAGGTTTGATGGGTATTATCATAACCAGTTCATGGTGGTGAATGATTGCTTGCATAGGTACAAGTTCATGGCCAAGTGGATGTTCTTTTTCGATGTCGATGAGTACATTTATGTTCCACCTAAGAGTACTATCAAGACAGTCCTCGACTCGCTCTCAGAATACGATCAGTTCACCATTGAACAGATGCCCATGAGCGGCAAGATTTGCCTCTCTCAGGATTACGGCAAAACTCACAGGTACACTTTTGCATGCCATCATTCACAATTTTCTTTCTTCCTTTTGCTTCAATTAACTTAAACACTTCAGTCTTGCTTGATAAACTTGTACGCAACGCAGGAGAAGAAAAAAAAAATGGTAAAATGAGTTGAGTTGTCCCGTAAGTCAAAATTAACTTAACTTTTATTAAAGTTCAATCATTTAGTGAATCTTTGCGTATTTTTCATATAAAGTAGCTGGTTGCTTTGTTAAATCCATGTTCCTTTACTGATATGGCTCAAACAATTGGGAGACTGAATTGGATGGATCAATAAGTTTTGCTAAGTATGAAAATTTTGACTTTTGCTGTTCACCTGAGGCATCGATTTGATGTGATTGTCCTTTCTTCTTTTGTTTTGATTCTCGTAATCATAGAGGATATTGAGTGGTTGGACACTGTTTATTTGTTATGTGGATGGAGGATAGGAGTTGCATTATTGTGGCCTGGATGCGTTTGGAAACATTTGCCCATCCCTTTAGCATTTATTCTGTCCTCTTTAGTGTAACAGGACAGGTGGAATAGTGGGGCTTGTTTGAACCTTGTTCTAGAGTATGATTTCTGCTTTATATAGGATGTCGTCTAATTGAACTTATCAACACTGTTTATTACCAAAATGTGGCCTTAATCATGGTTGTGTAATATGTGGTGTTTGACATGGTGTGATATGAACTTAACAGGAAATGGGGTTTTGAGAAGCTTGTGTATAGAGATTCAATCACAGGCATTCGTAGAGATCGAAAATATGCAGTGCAACCACGCAACCTGTATGCAACAGGGGTGCACATGTCACAGGATCTATCAGGAAAAACAACACACAAAACTGAAGGTAGAATCATGTACTTCCACTATCATGGAACGATATCAGAAAGAAGAGAATCATGTAAAATACTGGTAAACACGACACAAGTCACAAATGAAAAGATCCCTTATGTGTTGGACACCACATTGAGGGACATTGCTGGGGTAATCAAGAAATTTGAGCACAAGATGATTGGATCAAGGTTGAACAAGACAAAGCAATGACATACTTCAAATCTTTCTTTCTTTTTCTCTTCGTGGGGCTTTCCTAAAGAAATATGTCATTTAACTTGTGTCAGGATAGAAGAAGATTCACCCATTTCTTTTTCTAATATCTGTATTATAAATATAATTTTTTTAATTATTTGGTACACGGGTATACGATCTTGTTGCATATTAAGATTATTCTGGGTCCTTCGTTTGGTTATTTGAGTTTTTTCTATATGCTGTATTTTGTAAAAATTAATGAATAAAGATGAATGATTTAATAATGCTGTCGGTGAGGGGACCAGAGCATCCCCCAACTTAGGCGCCATCATATGAAAGTGAGACCAATGTGTTGTGTTGCTTTCTCATACTGCATCTTTCCCTTTTATTCTTCATCATTATTTTGGACCTTGCTTCTTCTTCAATCCTTGTTCCTCAGTAAATTTCGTTCAAAGAATTCCTTTTATTTCTGGGAAAATGGGAATTTTTATGATGTTGTTTTAAGGATGTCTAGTTCCAAATATAGGTTTGAGTTTAAGGACTACTGAAAAAGTTAAACACTATGCAATATTATTCTAGAATTTTAAATTAAAAGTAGTGTAATTTTTTATATACTATATATGGTTGTAACAAATTTTTTTACTTGTTACTTATGATTGATGAAAGAAAGACAAAAAGGACGAGTAGGTGGATGTCAATGAGATGAGTTCTCTTAATTTATATAGACATCAAAGAAAGTGGTCCCAGGACATGCCGAATCATTAGTTTGAAAACTGGTTTTGTTTTACACGATCGTTGTTCTTACTATTTGATAACTAAAAGAAATGTACCAAGAGAATCTCTAATTATCTAATCGTGTACCAAGAGCATCTATCACAATAAACTATGGTTTTGGGGTTGATTAAATATATTTAAAGCTATAACTTGTTAAAATATTTCTTTTAAAAAATAAATAGGTATAACAAACACTTATTTAATTATTTAAGTATATTATTTTGATCTAACTGTGTCAACCGCAGCTTCGTCACGCTAATAAGAGAAAATTTTGGATTTACAATTATTTAAAAGAATAAAAAAAAAGTATTTAAACTGTTTTAAATGTTAATTTTTTAAAATTATAAAACTATTAAACATGATAAGATAGTATATTAATATATTAAACATATGATAACAACATATATAATATTGTTTTAGGTATGAGGTTAAGGTTTCTTAAGGTTGGATGAGTTTTTTAGTGGTCTTTCATCATTATTCGCTCTTCCTTCTTCTTGTTGAAGTTGTGTGGATGAGAAGTTCAAGTCATTAATATAACCTACCAGTTAGCACAATAAGTGATACTTATAATGTGCATAATGATCCTAAAGTTATATTTGGGATATTTATTTATAATAGTTGTGATGAGCCTCTTACCTTTTACTAAATCATACCTTAATCTGTATTAGGAACTTAATGAGTCACTACCACTAATAATATGACCATACTGTTAGGTCATACTAGGCACAGCCTAGGCCTACGTGGATGATTTGGAAGGACGGTCTGGATTGACAGCTTGGAAGGACAGTCTAGGAGGATGGCCTTAGTGAACGACCTGGAAAGACTATTTGAGTAGATGACCTAAAAAGACAGCCTGAGTAGACAACTTAAAAAGACGACTAGAATAGACTACTTGAGTGATGCTTAGTTTTAAGGCAAAAAATACTTAACACATGAGTGACATACCATATGATACAAATATCAACTCACCATCAAAAGTTAATCATTTTTATATTAGTACAAAATATTTACTCATTTTATTAATGAACAAATTTCATCAGAAGATCTCTCTGATCAGTTTAGCTGCCAAAGAATAAAAATACCATAGTTTCATTTTTGCTGTGTATGTGAAGAGGTTGTTGATAGCTAATATGTTAGTATTTGTAGAAATGTTCTTTAAATTTTGAAATCCGTCTAGTTTTAAATATGTAAGTATTCTTAATCTAATTATTTTGTTTAATCCACAATAATATATTAATCGTTATACATTTATGTTATGTTGAGATACTTTAAAACTATATTGATGTAAAGCATTTATTTTAAACATTTTTATACTTAAAAAAGAAAGGTTGATGAAACCCAGTTTTTTAATAGTAACTTATTAGAGTTAGTAGTTATACCTTATTTTTATAAAAAAATTGTAAATTGATCATTATTGATGAAGACAAACACGGTGACTTAAATCTTTAAATTAGTAAAATATCACATTTTCTATAGGAGAAACCCGAATTATTTGTCATTAAAAAAATGAAAGTTGTGGCTTAATTATATTAAATAAACCAAATTTGATTCGATAAATAAACTTTCTTACTTTTTTCTTCTTAATTTTGTTTTTGATTTTTTGTGGTCTATAAATGTGAAGTAAAATATATGATTTATGTGTCGAGGTTTAATGCTCTAGGAAGAGTTTTTAGATGATTTTTTTTTTCGTGGACCGTGCATGATGACCGACACATGCTGGTCGTTTTGATGGTGTTAAATGTTTTATTTTCTTTTATGTTATAATAGTAGAGAGAAAAGTGCATGTAACTAACTAGATTTACTTTGAAGATGATCCTAAATTACTTTATCTCTGACATCACTCTCAAAATTTGAGATGAATTAGCCATTTACAAACTGAATATATGTGGTAAGCTTTAGGCATGACAGAACTTGTTGAATCCAAAATTAATGAGTCCAAACGCAGGTTTTCCCACTCACCTACCTTAAGCTTCCCAAAACCTAACCTTCCGACTTACCCCATAAAGAAACTCATTTTTACTCAACATGCATTTCCAGTTATTTTCTTTTATTGTTGGCTGAATATATCTCTAATGGGCTGATCTCGTTTCCTTGTTTTTATTTTCAAGTGCATGCATTTAAATATAAAATACCAAATAATATTTCATAAGAACCAATAAAGTCGATAAAATTAAAAAATATTTTCAAAAAGTTATAAAAAAGAAACAAGTTCTCTTCCATGTTTAAAAGTATTTTAAAAAGAAATCCAAAAAAAAGTTTAAACTAAAAATAATTAAAATTTAAGTCATTTTTTGAACTTAAATGTATATTGGATGGTGATAAAATTACACTTTCCTTTTGGTTTACCAAGATTTTAATCATTTCACATGTTTACTTTGATTAAGAATTCAAAAGAAAAGGATTAGTATTTTGTAATAGGTCCCTTTAGCTAACCTAACTATGGGATCAATCCTATGAGTTTATTTCCTAATTCTTATTGAAAGAAAATATTTGTGAGATCGATAAAGACAATGATATCAGAGAAAAGAAGTCATTCTTTTTAAGAGAATGAGAATATAAAATGGACTGACAAATTGAGACAAAAGAGCGATTACAATATTGGCAAATTCCTTCTCTACCCTCTTCTGCTCCTTCGATGAACTTAATTATTGCTAAAAGTTCACTTCAATAAATAAGATTGTCGAAGACTTTTCGATTCACTAGCACATTGCTTCTTCTACATTTTTCTGACCTCAAGTTGAAAAAATTGACTAGAACAATATAAATATAAAGATTTTCTATTAAAATGGGACGAGTTTGTACAATACTCACATGAAGGTTTTATTTGCCATCATTTGTAACGATAGAAAGAAACTTCCATGTTGATTTTTGATCAAAATTCCAAATTCATCTAGTCTCCAGTTGGGAATATCTTCTGATAATGCCACTTGAAGACTATGAACATTCAAAGACATATTATTTTAAAACGGAAGGTAGCATTCAAGTAAAATTAGCGCAAACCTATTATTTAAAATTAACCCTTTTACTTGAAACTAAATAGTTTCGATTGTATGAAAATCTCAATGTTATAATGTTTTAGAGAAAATACTCTTTACTTAGGAGACATAACTTGTTTTTAATATTAAATATGATTTTGGTCTGTGTACTAATCATCAAACTTAGTTTTTATTTTTTACTCTAAGAATTGATTTATTAATTATCTAACTTTAAAGTTAGGGATCTTTTTATAAACTTTGTGATAATAGAAAAAGATCACTAAATGCTCAATTTAAATATAAATAATAACTAAAATCAAATAGTATGTGAACTTAGTCGTTTTATTAACTATCATAGTAAAAAATGTCACCAGATGTTATTTAAACATTAAGGACTAAAATCGCATATTTTCAAAATCGAGATAACTGAATTCATTAATTTGAAAGATTAATGAGCACAAAAACAAGTTTAAAAAAAGTACAGGACCAAAACATACTTTTCCTTGTTTTTTAATTAAAATAACATATATTGGTTATTCAGCCCAAACATGAGCATGTGTGATTGCACATACTATTTTCCATGACATGCTTTTATCTAAAACCCTGTTAGCTCGTTTTTGCATCATATTGTTGTTTTGATGTGAATTTGAAGGATAACATTTATCAAAACGACATCGAAACACACTCATTTCAAGAGATTATATGCCTCAAGTGACATATTAGAATATACATTTCGCATGATGAGAAGATTTTCTGAAAATTTTCCATTGAAAATCACCCATCAATATTCCACGCACGCTAAACACTAGTGATAGAAGTGACAGAACCAACTTGAAATAGAGTGAGAAGTTTCGTTATTTTTGTTAGCAACACTTTCCGCAGTAGAGACTCCATCTTCATGCCCTTTGAGCTTCTAAGAAGGCTGTAAAATCCTCTCTGGCTTTGCTTAAAGGAGGAGTAATGCAGGATGCTGGAGAGGCGGGCTTTGATGTAGAAGATGATGTTGAAAACCGAACATGTTGAGGTTTTGTAGAAGATCCAGTCTTAGGAAGCCCTTTAAGGTCCTTCTCAAAGACAAAAGCTGAGGCAACTGGGGCATGCACATCACTAGCACTGCATTTGAT